GACGCACCATCCAGACCGTGGCTTCATCTCCAGCAGCGTCGCATATCATGCAGCAGCAATATAAGCATGCACACGCCAAAACATATCGATGAGCCAGCCACCCACCGCACATCCGAATGAGCATGTACGACAGACCCGCGTGCATCAAATTGGCTGCCTCTTCGTGATGAGTCCGTACCTGCTGCTGCAGCAAGATGTGCGATCGTCTGCTTGCTCTGTCGTGGACCCTGATTTTGCTGCCCGCGCGTCATGCTGATCGCTCCACATCCATGCATGCACAGTCATGACTCATGAGTGCATACTGTATGCCATGCCATACGTGCGCTCCCTCACTCAAGACTTCACCGCGGCTTCTGCTGCTCTACATCAGGCATGGGGCGAGGTTTGGCAGCGCGTCTGTCATCAATGAGTCAAGAGTGGATACACCATGGCGTCTATCAACTAGACTCGTGACTGGGATGCTGCATGGCGCGCGCGAATAGGATGTCCGTCGTGCACCGCCAATCATAATCCTGAATCAAGTGATCGCGCATACTCCTTCTATGGCTTTTCGCCGTTTTTGGACATCAGCAGCATCATGCGCGTGCCTGCATCGGCTGCCATGCAACGGCCGTTCCCCATCTCGCGGCACACGTGACCGCAGTCTTGACTTCGACTCGGTCGTGAATCTTGAAACAAAATCAAGAATCAACAAATCGACGGCTTGCATCTCACCTTTGGAGACAGCGATTACGTGGCGGCCAGTCACGGGAACCTTTGCGTCGGACTCAAGACTTGAGCTACTATATTTGAGCCCTAAATACAGCGTCGCGATGTCGTGATGCAATGAGCTCCAGGCTGATGAGTGAGACACAAGCGACATGCTGGTGGAACCGTGGGCATCTCCAAGCTCGATTTGCTGGACATGGGGAGGCTGTGTGATTCTTTCGAGAGGCTTCAATCAAGAATGTGCATCGAAGAAACTTTGAAAATGAAAGTGGACGCCAGGACTGCCCGAGCGCGTGGAATATTGTCCCCCAGGAGTACTCAAGACTTATGGTCAACCGCAGAATCGCGCGTAAATAGCGGAGGGCACGGCGGGTGCAACGATGGTCGTCGACTCGTCGAGAGGAGGCGGATTGGAGAGAGAGGCGCAATGCTTGTTCGGCCGATGCTCGCCGATGCACGTCCTCGCGTCACGGGCACAGCACGCGCGCGTTTATGTATACTCGAGACTCTTCTGTGTGTTCAGCTTGAACGCGAACACGACGACGATACAAGAAAGGTCTTTGCTCTCGACTCCATTGACCTTGTGCGATGAATTAGCAAGCTTTGAGATTCCTCTAAAGTCGTCAAGTGCATGATATCAGGAGGTATACAGGCACAGCCCACCATCGAGGGAGGCTATATGCAGAGGCCGTCATCCGTGGCAAAGGATCTAGTCGGAAGATAAGCTGCTGCGTTCACGTTTGCGCTCTCATTCTCGAGATGAAATCATTTCATGTGATGATGTGGGGCATCACTTGTCCAAGGGCGATGACTTTTCAGCTGCAACCGATCAAACGGCTTGTCAGAAGCGATCAGCGGGTCTCAGCACCGATCCCGTCTCATCGCCACATCACGCAGCAAGCTTCACCTGCTCAGGAGACGGAAAATGTCAGGCTCATGCTGAAGCTGGCCGCGACCATTCGGCAGCGCGATCCAAGTCCCGCCCAGCCGCGGATGCCAAGTGCGTCGAGTGGAAGATATACTTTGACTGCTTGCAGGGTCTTATGACCGCTGCGCGTGCTCACTGCTGTAGCGAACACTTCCATGCAACAGCTCGTCTGATGACGCGCAGCTGGGCCGAAGAAGCCCAAGCCCGGGCAGAAGCTGCTGCGTCTGGATCTGCAAGCGAACGGTCTGATACGGAAATGCTGTCTGACATCGACGATGCGACCGAAGAGCGCCTGCTGCGACCGAAGCGTATGCACGAATCCCTGGTGGAGTTGAGCTTGCCGTTTGCCAGTCAGGCGAGTATACCAGCGTGCCTTTCATTCTGCCAACGGCGGAGGCCGCGCTGAGACTGCCTCACACCTGCTTGCAGCCCGAGATTCTGGAGCGGTACATCGCCACATCTGGTCTCATCCGGCTGGGCAAGATCTTCGAAGGTGAGACGAAGAGGCGCAACTGATGGCTCTCTGGCGCGCCCGATAGCCCTAACTCCGACCATGCGCATCATCTCCTCAAGATCTGGACAATCTCGCAGGAGACATAAGCTACACGCACGTACTTCAAGGTCGACCGAAAGCCGGCGAGCAGTCTCGCATTCCCATCTTTATCGTGACGGCCTCTGTCGACAGGCTGGACTTGCTGCAGCCGCTGCGTGCAGATCGAGATTACAGGCTGCGCGGTGGAGTCATCTACGTAGGATCCTCTGCCATGGAGGTGCTTGTGACTGTTGTTGAGCTCGGTGACTCGGGCTCCGAAACCATTTGCCTGACCGGCAGATTCACCATGGCCACTCGCAACGCCAAGACTGGCAGATCACAGCGCATTGCCCCGTTACTGCTCGAGACGGAAGAGGAGCAGAAGTTGTTTCAAATGGGAGAAGGTGAGCGACAGCCTTTCGTGATGCAGCAGCCAGCTAGCGTGAACCTTTTACACCACATGCCTGTCGCTGATTGGTGCTATGTTCACCTCCTTGAAGATCACAAGAAGCGAAAGCGCGCCTTTAGCGAGACTTCGCTGGACCGTGTGCCGCCCACGCGAGAGGAAGTCGCTCTGCTTCACACGCAATGGCTTCAGGCTTCGAAGGTGCAAAATGACACTGACCTTCAGCACGTCAGAAACACTGCCTTGACATCGACTCAGCACATGCATCCGCAACAGCGCAACGGCGAGTAGACAAAACGTAGCCAGTCATTCAGTATGTCAACACTGACGGATCTTTTTGTGGTGCTGTTCGCAGTCCACATGAAGTGAGTGCCTCGAATGACATACGCAAATTTTCAGCAACCCCCACTCATACCACTGCTCGTGCCGACGCAGAGTGTTTGGTGGCTACCTAATGAGGGCAGCGTACGAACTCGCGTGGATGACAGCAGCTTCGTTTGTCAATGCTCCGGTCTCCTTCTTAGCACTAGACGCACTGTCGTTCCATGCTCCGGTGCCTATTGGTGCAGTGCTGAGCCTTTCTTCCAACGTCGCGTATACGCACACACCAGAATCTCCACACTCTGCCCGGCCACCCGAGCAAGCTGGATTGGAAGAAAGTCTGGCAGCTGTCACGGTCTTGGCCGAAGTCGTGGATCTTAAGACTGCTGTTCGCACAAAAAGCAACACGGTGCGCTCCTCGAACACATCATCTCTGAATTTTCCTCTTTCTGCGCGACTCTGCTGACATTCAGACATCCTTCGTCTGACCCCTACCACGCAGTTCACATTCACCTTCTCGCTCGCAAACTCGAGCAAGCACGTCGTGCCAGGTACGTCGATGAGTCTGAGCTAAGCGCTGCTGCCAATATCACACTGACCTCAGCCGTCGGCCCTGATGCGCACAATGTAGACTCTTACAGCGAGGCGATGGCTTGGATCGAAGGCAAGGTGAGGAGAGCTCGGCTCGAGGGTCAGGTCACTTGCTGACGCGCCTTGAGACTGTGTCCTTACCCGACTCTCTCATTTTACCTGTTAAGCGACGCGTGGACTTGGGCCAGGAACTTCGATCTCTGTACGCCTCAGAACGAGCGAGGAGCAAGGCAAACCAGACAGGAAGACCATGAATGGACGTTGCACCGCAGTCACATGCGGCAAGTGCATGTACTATCATATCATTGCAGTGAGAAGTCAAGCAATAGGTTATCGATGAGTCTCGTCTTCTGTCCATCTTTGCCCTCTGAAATCATTGCAGCTCCGCTCAAGATTGCGCCGCTGAGCTGTGATCTGTCTGGCGAGTCCGAGATGGTCTCGAGGGTATGCGGATCGTTCAGGCTGATGTACAGAAGCTCAATGTGGACGTTGTCCCGCGCCGAAAGTGTGGCTGCGTGAGCAACGTGCGAGCGTGCGGTCTCGAGAACCTTTGCGGGAGGCGAGCCGCTTGTCCAAGCATCTTGACCTCTTTGCAACGCATCATGCAAGGCCGTCGCGTGCTTTCGCGAAGCTGGAGTGAGGTAGGCGTTGCGCGACGATAGCGCAAGTCCATCTTCCGCTCGCGACGTGGGCAACACTCGGACGGCGGAGGGACCAGGAGGATGAGGAAAGAGCAGATCGGAAACCATTCGCCGAAGCAGAATTGCTTGTTGAATGTCCTTTTGGCCAAAGTAAGCTAGATCGGGCTTGATCAGCAGAGAATAGATAGGAGCATGCTCTTGGACTCTTAGTGTATGTCTGTGATACTAGATCCACTCGCGCGCGAAGCTCACCTGCACGGCGTTGAACAGTTTGGTGACCACGGTGGCTACTCCTCGGAAAAAAGTAGGCCTGCTAGCGCCTTCCATTCGATCTTGCAGATCAGCGACTTCCACAAAAGCTCCACGCTGCTTCGACTTGTCTCGTTCGATGCCGTTGGGGTACAATTGATCAGTGGTAGGTGCGAAGATGGCCGAAATCAGCTTTGATCGGGCCGGTGCTGTTGACGCGTCGTCTGCGCTCGTCGTCAAGGACACGAGAGCTTGGATATCCGTCGGCAGTGTTCTAGGGTACGATCCAAAGTCTTCGTGAGGAGCAAATTGAGCGGGATTCACGTAGACCGAGACGATCGTCTCATCCGTTTCTGCTAGAGACGCCCGCACTGAGGGCCGTTCGATGCGCGTCAGTACTCATCAAAGAACAATTGTCCGACCCCGCATTAACGTCAGGAGACCAAAA